GGAAGGAAAAAGGTGATGTTGAAGTGAAAAGTTCATGTGGGAACAAAGCGTTGTCTGATGTTTTGTATGTTCCACAAATTGATCAAAATTTGCTGAGTGTGGGGCAACTGATTGAAAAGGGCTTGAAAGTTACATTTGTTAAGGATGAATGTGTGACACCCTAACCCGTATACAGTATACAAGTTGTGTCACATAGAAGAATACCAATAATAAAATAATAAAGAAGCGAAAATATGAAATCCAAAAACATTTTTCAAATAGAGTAAGCAGCGGAAATACATAACGCGATCATCGTCGCAAAATAACACATGTCCGAATGATAAATTGTTGGGATTCGTAGGATCACACTAGCAATTCATAATCCTAGAGATCCGGTTTTAGGATTCATGCAGCGGAAGGTGAAAAACAAAAATTTTTCTAAACAAACCCTAAAACCGAACATGCATGATTGTATATCTATAGAAGAAACACTAACCTCAAACGATATGGGGCATGTACTTATAGTTGAATCGCCGATCACAAGAAGGTAGGAAGTATATCAAGTTATTGGTTTAGTGCTCTATGATGTACTGCTATATGACCTTTATTCTGATACATTTGATGTATTGACACTTAATAAGGTTGGATGAGTGTTTGATTCATTACGTATTATGCATACTTTAATATGTTATGAAATCCATGTATTGTTATGAACAATGCAGAACTCCTTAGTCATATATCATTGTGAGAACAATGATGTACTAAGACTAGTATGATGTGTGATAGATGATCATAAAGATGATCATGTGTATTGGATACAATCACAATCATAGGTATTCGTTGGAGAACGGAATACTTGAATGACCCGCATGAGATTGTCACATGGACTAGCGTCATGACTCGAATCTCATGTGACGGTTCCATGATTGGATCATGTGACCTGAGATGTCTACAGAATCCAACATGAGAAGTTACGTACTTTGAATACGTCAAACATCCTGCGTAACAGGAGGTGATACACGCCTTGGCTCGGAGAGGATGGAATCTGATCCAAAACGCAATCACCCGCACTTCACGGAGAAGGCTCTCGAATTCGCGTTCGGGTTGTGGTTAAAACGAAGGGGAATTGGATGGATCTTAGTTTCAATCACCGGCTCTAAAAGGCTCTCGAATTCAAAACTAAGATAGAAAAAACTCCAACAACTAGCTTCCCAACCACCTCATTTAATGCATTGGATTCCTACCCCTCTTGCATGTTCTTGTCATTTAATGTTGTAGTTGAGAATTCTAGCCTATATAAAGGCCTTGTAATGCATCATTTGTAATCAGGCTTGTAGAATGTCTCAAACATTTCGAGTTTTATAAACTCTTCTTCGGTTTGTCCGAAATTTATCCCGATCTTCGGTGTGTCCGAGATCACGAGTTTGGTGTGTCCGAACTCAAGCCTTGGTGTGTCCGAGGTCCACTATCTATTCTTTCCCTTCGTTCCATCCATTTTTCTATGCTCTAAAAGGCTCTCGAATTCAAAACTAAGATAGAAAAATGGATGGAATGAAGGGAAAGAATAGATAGTGGACCTCGGACAGACCAAGGCTTGAGTTCGGACACACCAAACTCGTGATCTCGGACACACCGAAGATCGGGATAAATTTCGGACAAACCGAAGAAGAGTTTATAAAACTCGAAATGTTTGAGACATTCTACAAGTCTGATTACAAATGATGCATTACAAGGCCTTTATATAGGCTAGAGATTCAACCATAAATTAAATGAGAAAGTACATGCAAAGGGGGTGGGAGCCTATGCATTTAATAGGGTAGTTGGGAAGAAACTAGCTGTTGGAAGATGCCTTGACTCTCAAGAAGCTTCCTTTTGCTAGTTGTCTTGATAAAGAAGGAAGCTAAGTGTGCCATGTGAAGATGTTGCTCGTCTTGCTCGATCCAAAGTAGGGAAGAATCGTAGCTTCACTCCTGGACTCGCATAACACGTGATGAATGAATGTGTTGAAGAGTTTTCGAAAAGCTCGTGCTTTGGCTCGAGTGAGTGGTAGCTCAGAATGAGGGGGCACTGGATTTTCTCGAAGTGGCACTCGGGTTGCATGAAGTGGCACTCGGTTTTTCTGAAGTGGCACTCGGTTTGCTATATCTTTTGGTTCAACTTTTCTTGCTTCATCGAGCATGTTGTCCATCTTTTGGTTTTGTTGTGTGTCCTCGCCTAGTTGTGCTCCTTCCAGCCGTGCTCCATCCATTTGAGCTCCATTGTCCGACTCCTTGTCCGATTGTGCTCCATCTAGTTGTTCTCCATGTATCCTCCCGTCACGTTCTTTGTCTATAGTATTGTCGATGGATCCGAGGAATGCATCATTCCCTCCCTCTTCTGAAGGTTTTGCCCTCAAAACTTGCTTACCTACATCAAACGGATCCAAGTCAGCATCATTAAACACAAAGGACACATTAAACATACCTTGGTCTTGATGGATGTGTTCCTTGAGTGAGCGAAAAATCCTTTCTTGTGCCTTTCCTCTTTCAAATGGTTCATCCTTCTTGTATTGCATAAGGATTAAAACTGTTGTGCTTTTGGAATCTTCCACAGTTCGATAGTAGGAAACACTCATTCCATGAGCTTGGATGGCACTCGTAGTTATCCATTCTTGTTTTGTCTCGATCTCCTCTTTGTTAAAGAGCAATACCTTCAAGCTAATAACAAAGCCTTGGACAACAAACATGTTAGTGCAGCTTGTGCTCTCATTGAATTGTTTCTTTTGAGACATACCATTTAGTAGCTCAAGATGCGCAAGATGTTCATAAAAACAATGATCATAAATAAGAATAAAGATTAGAACGAAGTTACCGCGTAAGGCTCTTGGAGTAAGGAACACGACCCATATGTGTGTTCGAGTCTTGGTGGCGTTGTAATGGCGGATCAAGTTCTCCACATTTGTGCACTTTCCCCGTTCGAAATAAGGTTGGATGAGTGTTTGATTCATTACGTATTATGCATACTTTAATATGTTATGAAATCCATGTATTGTTATGAACAATGCAGAACTCCTTAGTCATATATCATTGTGAGAACAATGATGTACTAAGACTAGTATGATGTGTGATAGATGATCATAAAGATGATCATGTGTATTGGATACAATCACAATCATAGGTATTCGTTGGAGAACGGAATACTTGAATGACCCGCATGAGATTGTCACATGGACTAGCGTCATGACTCGAATCTCATGTGACGGTTCCATGATTGGATCATGTGACCTGAGATGTCTACAGAATCCAACATGAGAAGTTACGTACTTTGAATACGTCAAACATCCTGCGTAACAGGAGGTGATACACGCCTTGGCTCGGAGAGGATGGAATCTGATCCAAAACGCAATCACCCGCACTTCACGGAGAAGGCTCTCGAATTCGCGTTCGGGTTGTGGTTAAAACGAAGGGGAATTGGATGGATCTTAGTTTCAATCACCGGCTCTAAAAGGCTCTCGAATTCAAAACTAAGATAGAAAAATGGATGGAACGAAGGGAAAGAATAGATAGTGGACCTCGGACACACCAAGGCTTGAGTTCGGACACACCAAACTCGTGATCTCGGACACACCGAAGATCGGGATAAATTTCGGACAAACCGAAGAAGAGTTTATAAAACTCGAAATGTTTGAGACATTCTACAAGTCTGATTACAAATGATGCATTACAAGGCCTTTATATAGGCTAGAATTCTCAACTACAACATTAAATGACAAGAACATGCAAGAGGGGTAGGAATCCAATGCATTAAATGAGGTGGTTGGGAAGCTAGTTGTTGGAGTTCCTTGATGTTGCATTAAATGAGGTGGTTGGGAAGCTAGTTGTTGGAGTTGCCTTGATGATGAAGAAGGTTCCTTTGGATAATTGTCTTGCACTCCAAGAAACTTCCTTTTACTTGGTGGCTTCGATCCGAGGTAGAATCGGTTGTGGAACTCGGTTTGCCGTTACCTTTGCTCTGTGTATGCTTCCGCCAAGATCTTCTTTACGAGATGTTATTAGATCTGATGTCCTCATCATTTCCTCTCTCTTAAGAAGTTTTGTCCTCATCATTCCCTCTCTCTTCTCCGTGTTTTGCCCTCAAAACTTGATTACGAAATAAACCGAAATAAAAGATAGATCTCACCGGGGTTAGACGTCCGTTGGCTCGAGCAAGCTCTGATACCAAAATGATACACGCCTTGGCTCGGAGAGGATGGAATATGATCCAAAACGCAATCACCCGCACTTCACGGAGAAGGCTCTCGAATTCGCGTTCGGATTGTGGTTAAAACGAAGGGGAATTTGATTGATCTTAGTTTCAATCACCGGCTCTAAGAGGCTATCGAATTCAAAACTAAGATAGAAAAATGGATGGAACGAAGGGAAAGAATAGATAGTGGACCTCGGACACACCAAGGCTTGAGTTCGGACACACCAAACTCGTGATCTCGGACACACCGAAGATCGGGATAAATTTCGGACAAACCGAAGAAGAGTTTATAAAACTCAAAATGTTTGAGACATTCTACAAGTCTAATTACAAATGATGCATTACAAGGCCTTTATATAGGCTAGAATTCTCAACTACAACATTAAATGACAAGAACATGCAAGAGGGGTAGGAGTCCAATGCATTAAATGAGGTGGTTGGGAAGATAGTTGTTGGAGTTGCCTTGATGTTGCATTAAATGAGGTGGTTGGGAAGATAGTTGTTGGAGTTGCCTTGATGATGAAGAAGCTTCCTTTGGATAATTGTCTTGCACTCCGTATATCGTGACTTGAGACATCTTGTGCATACGACAATTCAAGTAGAGTGACAAATGAACAAGAAGCTGTCAAAGAATGGGTGCCAACGAACGCCAACGCCAATGCGTATACCCGAAAAACTTTCCAATACCGGAGACCCAATGAAGGCGCAAAATCTTGATGCTCGAAAGGACGAAACTATCTTATATAAAAGAGAAGTCCACACACGAGGTAACAAAACTTCTTCCTCGTGTACTTATTTTACTTCTGAGGTTCCGTGTTCGGAGTGTAGGAAACAAACATGTTAGTGCAGCTTGTGCTCTCATTGAATTGTTTCTTTTGAGACATACCATTTAGTAGCTCAAGATGCGCAAGATGTTCATAAAAACAATGATCATAAATAAGAATAAAGATTAGAACGAAGTTACCGCGTAAGGCTCTTGGAGTAAGGAACACGACCCATATGTGTGTTCGAGTCTTGGTGGCGTTGTAATGGCGGATCAAGTTCTCCACATTTGTGCACTTTCCCCGTTCGAATGGTGCGTCCTTCTTTGGTGCCATGGGCATTAAAGTGAACATGCTGTTTGGGTGCCCATTGAGTTGTTGGCACGGGATACTCACGACATGCAGAATTTGAGCTTGGAAAATGCACGTAGCTGCCTCTTTGTGCACTTCTTTGACCCTTTCATGAAAATCTAGTACTTGCGAGCAATTAACAAGATCTAGAACAACAATCTCGTTAGTGTAGTATGTGCATCCCTTGAGAACTTTATAGAGATAATCCGTTTGGAAAGTTCGCATTTGTTGCTCAAGATTCATAACATACTCATCAAAACATGAATCATACACAAGAATAAAAGTAGGAACAAAATTACCGGTTGCTCCAAGTTTTTGACTTATGATGCAAGTGCGGTTGTTAGAGGTGTCATCGAGCATCGTCAAAGGCTTGCTCACAACCTTGACGCCATCGATTTCCTTCTTGGATGTGACTTCTATTTGCTCAAACCAATCCAATCGTATCATTCCTATGTCCCGTTTGACTTCGTTCAAGTTCTCGCCTACTATCACATTCTCCAATTTATCGGCCTCATCATTGCTTTTCGTCGCTTTCTTGTTGTTGGAATCCTCAATGATGTCCTTGCAGATTTTCACCAATATTGCCTTGGACTTTTCAAGTACGTTTTCCTTCGGCTTCTCATCCTCGCTTTCTTTGGCATCATATTCCTTCTTGTTACTCGTGACTACGAATGCATTCTCCTTGACATATTGCCGCTCTTCACTCACATTTGCCAAACTTTTGGGTTTTGTTTCCGTCACAAAGCCGGGATTCTCGACCGTTTCTTTCTTTTTGGTCACGCTCTTGGTCTCCTTGTCAGATGGAACTTCGAAATCATCCTCAAGGTGCCTCCCCACAGCCAACGCGATTGAGTGATATGCCCCGTTATCCTTGATGCTCACCTCTTGTCGGATGGAACTTCCACTGGGCAAATGACTTTGGTTCCTACACTCCGAACACGGAACCTCAGAAGTAAAATAAGTACACGAGGAAGAAGTTTTGTTACCTCGTGTGTGGACTTCTCTTTTATATAAGATAGTTTCGTCCTTTCGAGCATCAAGATTTTGCGCCTTCATTGGGTCTCCGGTATTGGAAAGGTTTTCGGGTATACGCGTTGGCGTTGGCGTTCGTTGGCACCCATTCTTTGACAGCTTCTTGTTTATTTGTCGCTCTACTTGAATTGCCGTATGTACAAGATGTCTCAAGTCACGATATACGTGTGGGTTTACCTTTCTAGCGATTCGGTCTTTCAAGCCCTCTAGAAAGTGTGCCATGAGATCTTCTTCATTGTCGTCGATTCTCAAGTAAGCAAGGAGTTGTTCAAATTCTCTGAAGTAGCCCTCAACCGTCTTGTCTCCCTGCACGATGTTATCAAATTTATATTGTAATTCACGAAGACAATGTCGAGATACATACCTTTTTCGCATGAGGATTTTCATCTCCTTCCAAGTGGAAACCGGTTCATAATGTGCACGTCGTCGATTTCGTTCTTCTCGTTCCCACCACATGATGGCATCTTCGGCAAGATGGGCAGCCGCATAGTGAATCTTCCTTCGGTTCGTCAAGGAATAACATTCGAAATTGGCATCCATTTGGCGCTCCCACTCAAGATAAACCTCGGGCTCCTCCTTTCCAGTAAACACGAAAAGTTTGAACTTTGGATCAGCCCTCTCATCACGAGTGGGTCGACGATATTCTCGGTCATATGGATCCTTGAATCGGCCATCATCGAGGGGTTCATGGTGAGGCCTCTTTAGATTTTTAGGCATGGTTCTCTTCCCCTCACTTTGTTTGTTTAGCTCCCTAGCAAATTCCACGGGTTCGCTCA